CTCAGGAGCATTGTCTACACAGACGAACCCACAAACATAAGTTCTTTCTGTATTTCAAGAAGAGTCACTTTAAACACTGTCAGAAATAAAGTCTGCCAGGAATGTTGGATCAATCTTCCTCCTTGAAATGGTAGCCTGTATAACCAGATGACCTAAAGGCACTGTTCTCCTAGTTCTTCTGAATGACCTGAGGGTGGGTTTCTAAACTCTTGGACTCTATCATTCTGATACTGATTTAGCCTTTGGTAAAGGATATACACAGACTTTTTGTTTTTTTAATGTAGTCTCTCTCTCTCTCTCTCTCTCTCTCTCTCTCTCTCTCTCTCTCTCTCTCTCTCTCTCTCTCGTGTGTGTGTGTGTGTGTGTGTGTGGTCACACATGTGCCACACAGAGAATGTGAATATTTAGAGACAGCCTGTAGGAATTGGTTCTCTTCTCCCATCTGGGTACTGGGGATCCAATTCAAAACATTAGACTTGATAGTTGCCTTTACCTACTGAGCAATGCCAACTAGCCTGCACACTGAAATTTGATATTTGCTGCCCTAAGGAAAGGAGCTCTAGACTGGAAGTTAGGAAACCCAAATTCTGATTCCATTGTTTCCATACCCTCCGTGGGTAACCTTGATTGAATCACTTAACCTTTTCTGGACTTAAGTTATATCAAATGGAGAAGGCTGAACTAGGTGGTTGCTATAGTCTCCCGCAACTCTCCAAGATTCTTACAAAAATCTATAGAATAGTCCTAATTTATCAATTTGCTGAATAACTGTGATTTAGTTATTTAGCCTCATGATCTTTCATTTTCTATCTGAAAAAAAAACAAAAAATAACAAACAAACAAAAAACCCCACACCATATAAAAGCTTGGATAGAGGAATGACATGCAGCTGTTTCCAATTCCACAGCTAAGCCAAATATTAATGTGTAATAGAACTTGGACAGAGCTAAAGTACCACATTTTCCATCTCAATCATTTGAAATAAAAGATATGATAAATACCCTTAGAATACTTTCATCTGTTCATGTAACCAAACTAGTTTAATCTCATTACCATTAAAGTGCATGGTGACAATATAAACATAAAATTATCTTATTCTTATGTCTTTAAAAACCAAAGATTCCATACTCCCATTCCATTCTGAATTAACATGAATGAATGCATCCTCTCTCCCTGAGATAGAAACAAAATCACAATTGCAAAGAATATCATGTTAAAGAGAACATTTTAAAGTCTTGGGTAAGATGAAAATCATGGTGACTCTACAAAAGCTGTACTGTGGAGGGAGAAGTGCACTCATTTACTAGAGATAAGAACATAAATAAAATTGTAAGTTTTGTTAAGGGAAATTTAACAGTATCTGTGGAGCCCGGTTTGAAGGTAAACCTATTGAACAACTCCTGTACCAAAGTCTCAGGGAACATTGCAGATGGAGGGGCAGAAGGATTATAGGAGCCAGAGGATGAGGGAGTATAATATGAGATTATGTCTTCTAGTAATATCACAGAAACTATGCCCATAATGTCCCACAAACAGGACTCTCTAAACACAAGCTGAACAAGGACAATAATTGACATCTCAAAATAGACGGGGGAAATCCTAGAAAGCCTCAACCCTACACAAAGGACTACAGGCAACTAAGGGATCCTGAGAGCAGGAGAAATAGTCTTCCCAGGAAAGAACACTCTAGTTCATTATCCAGTATTAACCCTAAAAACATACACGCAAGTGACATTTTACACATTGAACAGTTAAATTCAGGAATTATATGCATATATCTACAGTTAATGAAAAAGAGACCACGGATTTGAAAGAAATCAAGGAAGGGTATATGGTTTGGAGGAAGAAAGGAGAAAGGAGAAATGTAATTATATCCAAAATAAAAGAAACAATTAGAAAATGGCATACTTTTTGATCTGACAGTTCCAATTGAGGAAATTGATTCTACAGATTTTTTGCTTTGTTTTTGTTTTCTGAGACAGGATTTTTCTGTGTATCCCTGGCTATCTTCGAACTCTGTAGACCAAGCTGTCCTCAAACTCAGACAGCCACCTGCCTCTGCCTCCTAAGTCCTGGGATTAAAGGCATGTATCACTCTCTACCTCCTGGTTGATTCTATAGCTGTTCTTTATACATGTGCTGATAAAATGTACATAAAATATTAATGGAACCACTATTTAGCAAGAGAAAGCAAAATTCAAATTTGTAATAGAGACAGTTTAATTCAGTAGATTATATAGGTCATCTTTGCAACAGAATCCCATCCAGCACCTTATTGTTTGAGAATCCTATAAGGTATATAGTGTGTTTTGATAAAATCTGCCTCCTACTCCCTCCCCTATTCTTATACCACCTGCCAATTTTTACTTCTATCTTCGTGTACTTTTTTTTTTAACAAGCTGTGTATAGTATGTATTACCTGTGTGCTCATGAGTGTAGGGCCACCCATTGGAACATGAACAGGTCTACCAGGGACCACATTCCTGAAGAAAATTGACTTTTGTTCCCTCGGCAACTACCAACTGCCAATAGCCCCTCAGCTAGGGGCTGGGGCCTGGTAGGCCTCTCCCCAGTATATGCTGGGATTTTTGATGGCTTAATCTTGTGCATGCCTTATACAGCCCCAGCCTCTGTGAGTTTTAATATTCAACAGCCCTGTGGTGTCCAGAAGACAATGTTTTGGAGAAGTCCTCCCCAACCTCTGACTCTGAACAATCTTTTTGCATGCGACCCTCCATGACAGCCCCATAGTCTCAGCAGGAAGATATGATATAATGTCCCATTTAGGGCTGATCACTCCACTGGGACTTATTTAGGAAGTGAGAAACTTCACTCTTTCCAAGTTATAGAAAGTGGAACAATCTACAAATAAAGTAAGCAATAAAGAAGTATGTTGCAAAACACTGTGTACAGACTACTTCTCTGAGTGTGACAAAGTATACTGGCTTATTTCAGAAACAAAATCTGAACTCATGGCTTATAAGTTTGGTTGTTTACATAGAATGTAACTGAAAAAGACAAAAATTTCACTATATACTTTCTACTACCTCAAATTTCGAACCATGTGAATACTTAACTTTTCACAAGAAAGACAGTTGATTTTTAGATGTTGTAGAGATACTACGTTTATTGTGTGCATGTATTTTTTTATTTAATTTATTATTTTGCATGTCGATCCCAGTTCCCTCTCCCTCCCTCCCTCTCTCCCTCCCTCCCTCCCTCACTTTTACCCTCTCTGCCCTCTCACATGCACCCTAACCACCCTCCCCTCCCATCCCCCCACCCCAATTCCATATGTAGGGGAATGTCATCCAGTTGGGGTCATGTAGATCTGACAGGTCATGTGAAGTAGGGACTAGGGCTTCTCTCCTGTCTCTAGGTTAAGGCAGTTATCCCTCCATGGGGGATGTGTTAGCAAGGTCCTTTTGTGCACCAGGGATACATCCTGGCTCCACTGTCTGACGTCCCTTAGACTTCTCAGTCCTTCTAGCTGAGACCCATATTCAGGGGGGCCTGAGTCAGTCCCATGCTGGCTTTCCAGCTATCAGTCTGCGGGCCCGTTAGCTCCTCCTTCTTTAGGTCAGCTGTCTCTATGTGTTTCTGCAGCCTGGTCTTGTCCTCTCCATCTGCATCTGGGTTCTACTTCGACTCTGTTTAGTTATGGGTGTTTGCTCCTGTTTCCAAGAGGTATTAGATGAGGACTCCATGGATAAGTTAGTTGTTGATCTCACTATCCGGGAAGAGCATTTATGGTAGCCTTTCCACGGATGCTCAAATTGTTAGTTGGCGGCAGTCTTGTAGTGTGTGCTTGTATTTATATAAACATTTAAACGTGAGAAAATCTGGAATGATTCACACCCTTGACATGAACAAGTGAGGAGTAAGATGGATATGTGGAATACACTTTTTTTTTTTACTGTATGTTTCTTGAATTTTAAAATGAGGTATCACAATCTCACACCTAAAAGATCCTGTATTAAGGGTCTGGGACTGAAAGAAGAGTTTATGAGAGGCTTAACCTTATTAACTTGGTCTTCAATTACATCCTTCTCTTGGATCTTTTTAATGGATTGAAATAAGACCATGCCATTCAAGGACTTACAATGAAACACTGAGGTGACTTTCCATCTTGTAACCAGCTCTGTGGAGAATACCAAAACTACTGCATAAAAGGCAAAATGTATGAGAAGACATGCAGTGGATAGTCATGTTTGAAAGGTATAGCTTATACTTATGAACTGTGTAGTCAATGGAGCTACTGAAAAGAACTTGGATTTAGAGTCAGGAATCCTATATTTAATGTCAGACTACATTACAGACTGTGTGACCTTGCTTAATGAACTATTCTATCTTTGACAGGTAATTACCGGCCATATGCCATTATCTTTCTCAACAAAGTTACTGAGAAAATAACATATAAAAATATGTTTTGGGCTGGCCAGATGGCTCAGTGGGTAAAGGGGTTTTCAGCCAAGCCTGATGACCTGAATTCTGTCCCTGGAACCCATATGGTAGAAGGAAAGGACCGATCCTCACAAGTTGTCCTCTGAATGCCACATGTGTGCTATATCATGCACATTCGCGTGTGCGCGCGCACATACGCGCACACACACACAAGCTTAATTACTTTTTTGAAAAAGCATGTTGTAAACTCTAATGAAGTGCAAATTGTATCATAGCATTTTATCACCCATGGTGACAGAGATAATGACAACTGGCTAAAACATCTTCTCATATATTGTCATAAAGGGCAGTTCCTCTCTTTACTCAAAGAAATCATATGACAGCTTTAAAAGGATATAATTTCCAGAAAGTCTCTGGTTCAAAATTTGGTGTTCTGCATGTATTCTTGTCTCTGCATGGGAAAAGAGTAGCAATCAACATTTCATACTAAAACTAGAGAGTATATAGTAATAGGAGAAAAAGACAGGCATTTGTTGCTTAGTTTTGTTCTTTTGAACTCTGAAAAATGAACTAAATTTAAACTTTTTTAATTTCAGTTATCTACCTCATACTCTACCATGCCATTTTTGTGTTCTTTGCATGGACCTACTGGAAGTCTATCTTTACACTCCCACAGCAGCCAAACCAGAAGGTAAGGATTATTTGTTAATTCACAAAGTTAAGAACATTAGTACCAAGGACATAAATAGGTTGACAATAAATGATTAGAAAAATATAAACAAGTAATAATCAAAAGAAAGCAAGGGTATCTATGCAAATTTCAAGCATGAGACTTCATAGGGAAGAGAGATAGGGAAGGAGGGAAGAAAGAGGGACTGGGGTTGTGGCTCAGAGATACGGTGCATGTGTGAGGCTCTGTGATCCATCACAACACAAATATTTTTTAAGAGAGTTAAGTCAAACATAAGAAAAAAAGAAATACAATATATATTGATAAAAGGGTCAATGTGCTAAATATAGGTTTGTGGTAGAATATTTGACTAGCAGCTTGTTGGATTGATCTCTAGCACCACAAGAATAAATGGCCAGTTCATCAATATGGTAAAGTTATTTTTAAAATGAACCTGAAATAATAGAAGCAAAACCTGGGAAAATTCTGTTCTGCAATAGCAGTTAAAAAGACATCAGTTGAACATTTTCAATAGTGTATAGAATAAGTAGACAGATGATCAAAAGTAAATGATGGATCTAAAAGGACATATAAAGCAATCCATCCCCAAACAGCAGAATATACATTCTTACATTCTTCCAAATTGTATACTGAACATTTTTCAGTACAGATAATCTATTAGGCCACCAAAGTTGACACATTTAAAACATTGAAAGCATACAAAGTATTTTCTCTAGGTACAGTGAGATAAAACTAAAAATTAAGACAAAGAAAGCTACAAATATACAAGTATACAAATATATAAATATAGGGAAATTAAGTATATTCCATATTACTGTATTTTGAGAGTATTCACTCCCACCCCAACTCCTCCTAGATCTGATGCTCTTCCCTACCCAACCAACTTTGTGTCCTCATACTTTATCCTACTTAAAAACCAAACATTAGGTCCATTTGTGCTATCCATGTACGATTTAGTGTTTGGGTATCCACCAGAAGGTGTTTGACCTACCAGGGGCCATGGCCTTAAAAAAAAACTGATTTTTCCCCCTCTCAGAAGCTATTAATTGCCAGTATTTCCTCAGCTATAGGAAGGACTCCACTCCCCTCTCCATGCTGGGATTTTTGGCTTGACATTGCAGTCTTGTACATCACAAGAGCTGTGAGTTCATATGTGGAATGGTCCTGTTGTGTACGAAGACTGACATTTTAATGTGTGCATCCACCACCCATCACTGGCTGTCTTGCAATCTTTCTACCCCATCTTCTTCAATGATTCTTGACCCATAGCAGAAGGGGTTGTAATGTAAGTATCTCATTTAGGGCTTAGAATTCCAGTCTCTTTTTTTTTCTCTGTACCTTGACCATTAAGGACATCCTGAACCAATGAATCAAATACGAAATCGTGTGAAGAATTAAAAATACTTTGAGAGGAATGAAAATAATATGTGGCATAATAAAAATTATAGGATGTGACCAAGCAGTGCTCACAGGATAATTTATAATTGTAAAACACATTTAAAGGAATAAGTGAATGTCTCAAATAATCTATGTTGATGTTTTAGAGAACTGTTTAATGAAGAGTAGAAAGCTAAACTTCAAAAAAAAAATGAAGGAAAGAAAAAAAGAAAAGGAGAAACAAAGAAGGGAAATAAACCAAACAGTAAGAAGACAACCCAAAGCATAAAAGAAAATATTTTCATACATCTGTTTTATCCAGTGCTCAGAATACATAAAGAATTCTTATAATTTATCAATTAATGATAACCCAATTGTAAATTACAGAAAGGTCTTGAATACATACTTCTCCAAATTATATACAATTTTCTGCTAAGGACATGAAAAGTTCATGAGTACCATTACTAATTTAAGGAGATGCAAATCTAGGCACCAGAACCACCAAGAAGGAAACCATTAAATGAACAAATGAATGAATGAAAAATAGCATATATTGGTAAGAATGCAAAGAATTCACAATTCTTCCAAATTTGACTAGGACTATAAAATGGTAGATTGTAGTTTGTCTTTTTTTGTTTTTTTAACTTTTAGGGGCCCACTACCCATCTCCCAAATAAATACATAGGGACTTATTCTCACTTAAGAATGCTCAGCCTTAGCTTGGCTTGTTTCTAGCCATCCTGCATTCCTTCCTTCCTTCCTACCTTCCTTCCTTCCTTCGTTCCTTCATTCCTTCATTCATTCCTTTCTTTCCTTCTTTCTTTCTTTCTTTCTTAGAAAACTAATGGATTGTTTTTTTCTAACTTAAATTATCCTATTTCTCTTGAACTACATTTTGCCTCTGGGCTTTTTACCTTTCTTTGTTCTATATATCTTTCTTTCCTTACTCCATGGATGGCTGTGTGGCTGGGAGTCTGAACCCTGGTGTTCTCTCCTCCTTTCCTTGCTCCTCTCCTTTTGAGTCTAGATTTCTCCTATTTATTCTCTCTGCTGGGCAGCCCTGTCTATTTCTCTCCTGCCTAACTATTGTCCGTTCAGCTCTTTATTGGAACAATCAGGTGTTTTAGGGGGCAAAGAAATACAGCTTTACAGAGTTAAACAAATGAAACATAAAAGAATACAACACATCTTTACACCATTAAACAAATATTCTCCAGATGTTGGTGGCACACGCCTTTAATCCCAGCATTCAGGAGGCAGAGACCGGTGGATCTCTGTGAGTTCCAGGCCAGCCTGGTCTACAGAGTGAGTTCCAGGACAGGCTCCAATGCAAATACAGAGAAAATTTGTCTCAAAAAACCAAAATCAAACCAAACAAATATTCCACATCATAAATGAATGTTAAACTAATATTTCACAACAGTAGATCTGCTATGCAAAATAGCTATACTTTCCCTCAAAGGTAGCCATATGACTAGAAATTCCATTCATGGATATATACTCAAAATAATTAAAACCAATCATTCTAGCAAATACATATTTACAGATCTTTATTGCAGCGATAAGCACTATAGTCAAAAGATTGAAGTAACTCAAATATTCATCAGTAGAAAAATAGATGAGGAAATATTGTATCTATATGTCTGTATGTATATTGTATATGCACACATCCCAGAATACCATTGGCCATAAAAGGGAATGTAGTGCCAACCTGTGATATAACATAGATGACCCTTAAAAGGTGGTCATTGAAAGATACCTAACACCAAAGGCCATATTGTTTTGAAGTCAAATTCATATTCAGAGGTCCATATAGCAGACACTGAATGTAGTATGCCTACAGATAAAAGAATTAAGAATAAAAGCTTAATAAATAAAGGATTTCTTCTTGGGTTGATGAAATATTTTAGAACTAGATAGTTTTGTTTGTACCACATTATAAGTAAGCTAAATGAATTTGTGCACTATAAAATACCATCTTATGTTAATTTTAGCTTAATAAAAATTAAGTGTTCCCTTAATGTTATTTATGAAAGCTTTTAGGTCAGTAGAAAGGCTAAATGGTTAGAAATTTTGTAGAACTACACTTGAAGAAATAATGTTAGGTTTTAATCAAGTATTGCAAATGCCTAATGCTTATGACTACATCTTTATCATTTTCAATTTGTAGAAAAAATGGAAGCAGAGTTCTTTGGGTCTACTTAATAGCTACAATATTAATTTCTCTAATATCACAACATTCCAATCTGTCACCAGTTGTCTCATCCAAAATGCATTTATTAGCTCACTGCTTTATAATCCTTAATAAGGTTTAGTTAGTGCCAGAAGTATGCTATCTGTGCCAGAAATTTTGTTCTAAACTATTTGTTGAGTGGCCACAAAGTGTTTGTCACAACTAAATAGAAACAACTCTGCCTGTGCCATTCAAGTCGCTCAGGGTCCCATGAGAAAGTCATATTCACTAGGATGCCTCAAAGATTAAAACACTATCACAAGGCACTACTTTTAATGATCAAAATTCAAATGAAAATCTAAAAATTTTGTATTTTCATGTTAATATAATTGTGCTTATAAAAAACAGCCAGGTTATTATTTTTTATCAATTTACAATATTTACTTAAGACGTTGTTATTAGAATGCATCTACCTAGTGCACAGTAGAACTCAGGGCTAAAAATTAAATCCTTACAAATATACCATAATTATTGTGACAGCCTCAAATGCCCCCTATGCCTTTCCACGTGTCCTCAGGAGAAACATTTAATTCTCACTCTGATTTGAGAATGGCATGATACTATAAAATGCACCATAGATATATTTCTATTTTAAGTCACTTTTTAAAACATGTATTGTATGTATGTGTGCATGCACACACCTAGTGTGAGCATTCTTGTACATGTGTTTTGACATATTTAAAATGTATGTTTCACCCACGCACATTTATTTATCTTGGCTATGTAACTAGGAGTGGAATTTCTAGGGCATAATGCAAACATGCATTTACTTTTAAATAGTACATAGGTTTTCCAAACTGGTTCTATAAATCCACACTCCTAACAAGATCTTCTGTCTCTCAAAATGTACCATAATAGGGCTAAAAGAAAGGTTCATGTGGGTAGAAAAAGATTCAACAAAAGAATAGAATCTATAATATATAAAAGATTTCCATAATCCAGCATAAAAAGACAATAACCTGTTTTTGTCATTTTTGTGAGTTCCTTGAGAATTTCCTACAATTTTGATCATATTTACCACTTTGCACCTTCCTCCCAGATTCATTATCCCTGACCTACCCACCCATTCACTCATGTCCTCTTTCTTTTTTTCCCTTTAACCCCATTAGATATAGCTTGTGTTACTCTATACTCTTGGATGTGTAGCCTTCACTGGAGCATGGTCAAGCCAACAGAGACCTCATCCTCAAAGAAAACTGACTCAAAACCTAATTATTTTAGTGGACAAAATACTCAATAGGTATTTCAAGAGAATACCCCATATGGTCCATTCATGAAAAGATGACTAATATCGCTAGTAGCCGAGGAAGTACTGTGTGAAAGCACAAGGTACAACATAGTAAGAGTTAAGATTCAGATGACTAGCAATATCAAGTAGGTTTAAATGATTAATGGAGTTATTAATAATACTTTGAGTTACTTGTTATTACCCAGCAATTATGACTCAGTCTTCTGAAATAAGTGTTATTTACTTATTTTACAGGGGGAAAGGGTTAGAATAAGAATGTCTAATTTCCCAAAGTGGATTTCTATTTTATGTCCATGATAAGGTTTAAACTAGAAATTCCCATCATAGATCCTTTCTTTTTTCACCTCTGTCTACCCTTTTGTGTAGACTAAAGAAAAGTTTTCAAATCTATATTACTTTGAAAAAATAATTAGGCTATCTTAGGCAGGATTAGCAAAACGTAGCATCAAATGAACAAAAATTCTGTTTCAACTAGTAAGGATATCCAAATTTCCACCCATTTGCAAAATTATAATTATGCAGGCAATATCACAAGCCATTTCATCCAGCTTTTCTGAAAGTGTCGTCAGCATTATGAACCTGTGAAAAAGCAATTGACACTCAATAAGTGCTGCTACTCATTAATGGGATCCTGACAGCAATGTGTTACACAACTGTATATACCATCATACATGGTATAATGGAATTGAAAGTATATAAGCCTTGGAATTACATGAAGTGCATTTATGACCAGCTTTGCTATTTATAAGTTAATTGAGTACAACCATGAACAAGATACTGAATCTGTCTAAGTGTTATCTTTTATTTTTATTATTAAAAAAAGAATACCACCTATCTCATAAGATACTTAGCCAAAAAAAATGTTTAAGACAAATTTGTATTTGGAGTTCAAATACTTTCATTTAGGTAGTTATTGTTGCTTTTAATCCATTCTGGGACCCTGAGAAAGTAAAGCCTTGCCTATTCTGCTTCCAGTTCCACTTGTCCTATACTGATAAGGAGCGCTATGAAAATGAAGAGAGACCTGAGGTCCAGAAGCAAATGCTTGTGGATATGGCCAAGAAGCTACCAGTCTACACAAGAACCGGGAGTGGAGGTCAGTTCATGATCTTAGTCAGAGAGTCAGCTAGCAGGAATGTAAGGAACAGCAAGTCATCTGCCTCCCATCTTTTCAAACACATTTCATTAGAAAGAATTTCACTAGAAAGAATTTCAAAGTTGGGAGAATTGTAAGTAACTGTAATACCCTGGATTCTACCACTAACATTTTATTATACTGCTTTATCTCATCCCTGTCCTTATATTTAACCCTCTGTTTTCCATTGGATCACCTTATTTTTTATGATGCACTTAAAAACAAATAGCAAACATCAATACATAGCCCCCTAAATATGTATTTTTGTGAGTGAAATTTGCATATGAAAACATGAAAAATCTTAAGTGTACAGTTCAACATGTTTTGAAAAATATACATACCTGTGATCAAAGCTGCTAAAAATTACCATAACTGTAAGAAGGTTCTGCCATCCCTACTCAGTCACTCCTCATGCATGCTTACAATGGCTATTCTGATAGTTTTGCCTGCTCTAGAATTTTGAATAAGTGGAATCAAGTATGCACACTTTTAGTTGTGTATTTTAGTCTTTGTGTTGCTTAGTAGTATTACATCGTATGAATAGAAGAGCTTGTTTATCTACTCAGTGCCTGATACACATTTGGGTTGTTTCCAGTGCTTAGGTAGTATGAATCAGTTCGCTATTAAGCATCCTTGTAGTAATAAACAAAGGAAGATGTATCAGCATTTCTGTGGTTACATATCGTTTTTGGATTTCTTTAATTTATAAATATATATTCCTAAGTATGTAAATACAACCAGCTCATTACATATATCAGTACTTGTATGTGTATGACTTCAGGGCTGAATACTTGGTATTGAACAGTCCTTGGTGTTCTCTTCCCTGGGGAAGACTACTTCTGTTCCCAGCATTCATCAGTTCCCTGTAGTTCTTTGTCTAGAGTTGAAGCCCCATGTGGTTTTCTCCTTCCATATTGGCATGTTGTCCTTGTTCAGGTTTTGTTTAGGCATTCCTGTTGAGATTTCATGTACATAGTGGCTCTGACTTTTCTAAGAGACATACATTCTCACAGCAGACTTCCTTTTCCCCTCTATTACAGTCTTTTTGACACCTCTTCTGTAAAGTTTCCCAAGCTTTAGGTCCATGTTGTATTATAGATGTATAAGTCAGGACTGAGCTGCACAACTCTGCATTTTGATCAATTTTGTTTTTGTATTGGCCTGTTTATTGCACAGAGATGCTTCATTGATGAGGGTTGAAAACTATGCATATCTATAGATATAAGAATAAATGTTTAGGGTGTAGTTAGGGACTTTGCTGGTTTAATAAAGTGGAAGTTTGTATGTTCTCCTCCATGATCCATGACCTCACTAGCCCCGGGTTGATGGGTAGGTTCCCAGTACCAGGCGTGATTTCCCTCTTGTTGAGTAGGACTTAAGTCTAATTAGAGAGCTACTGGTTACTGCAAAAGTATGCATGCTACTGCTGCACCCTTAGGGTTTCTTTACCATCTGATCATTACTGTAGTTCATAGACATCATAGCAGACAAGGATTGTTGGTTGCTTCCCTCCTCTGGAAACTTGCACGGTACCTTATGGTACCATGAATGCTGATCTTCAGGTAGGAAATAGAGACTTTCAGGTCAGATCCAGCTTGCTTCTTCTGAGTCCTATATCCAAAGTATATAACTTCTTCAGCAATAGGGACTTACTCTGGGAGCAACCAAGGGCAATAGCAATAGCCTGTGATGATTTGGTAGTCTCTCAGACAACCCTGACCAACAACTTAAAAGAAGGCTTCTTATGCTTAGTATTGAAGTTTTTATTAGAAAGCCTATGACTCCGGAGGTGCATTATATGCCCAGATGGGAAACTTTTCATTTATATTTCTATGCATTATATGTAATGTTGGTTAAATAGATTATAACTCTTTACGGCTTTTTCAGACTTCCTTACTATTACTAGAACCTCCTCCATCTCCCACTCTGTCTGTATTGATCTCTCTCCTTATTAAAAATGTTGGCTATGGCTTTCTCATATAGTTTTTATTATGCTGTTGAATGGTCCCTCTAGTTCTATTCTCTCTAGGACTTTTATCATGAAGATATGTTGGGCTTTGCCAAAGACTTCTTCTGCATCTATTGAGATGATAATGTGATTTTTATTTTTAAGTTCAAATTATATGGTTTATCCTATTTATTGACATATATTTTCCCCCATACCTTCATCTGTGAGAAAAAAAAATTAACTTGGTTAGGGTGGGTAATCTCTCTGAGGTATGTTTGTATTCTGTTTGCAAATAGTTTATTTGTAATTTTTGAATCTACATTCATCAGAAAATTTGGCTTGCCATTTTCTTTTTTGTTGTTGTTGTGCCTTTACTTAGTTTTTGTATTATATCAATACTGGCTTCCTAAAAGGAGTTTCCTTCTGTTTCTATTTTATGAATAATTTTAAAAATATTGGCTATAGATCTTCTTTGAAAGTCTGGTAGAATTCTGCTGTGAGTCCATCTGGGTCTAGACTTTTATTTTTTTAAGTGGGAAGGCTTTCTATTACTGTTTTAATCTCCTTGTTTATTATAGGTCTGTTTAGGTTGTTGGTCTCTTCGTGATTTAATTTTGGTAAACTGGATTAATCAAAAAATGCATCTCTATTGACCCACTCATTCAATAACGAGTTGTTTAATATCCATGAGTTTGTGTATTTACTAGAAATTTGTTTGCTGTCAATTTTAAGTTTTATTGTACTATGGTCAGAAAAGATACATGAAGTATTTTCCATATTTCTGAATTTGGTAAGATTTGTTTTGTGGACAAGTAGACCAAGGGACAAATGGATTGCCCTGGGAAGAGAAATTAGATGAGATCTCCTAGGTAAACTAAGGGAAAGATGAGGACAGTAAAGGAGAGGGAAAGGGGGATGATATCATTAGGGAACGGGATGGTGCAGGGTAGGGGGTGGAGAGGGAGAGCAATAAAAGAGAATTCCTAGGAATCCACAATGATGACTCCACCTAAAACTAGCAATAGTGGAGAGGATGCCTGAACTGGCCTTCTGCTGTGATTAGATTGGAAATTGCCCCAACTATCATCATAGAGCCCTCATCCAGTAATTGATGGAGCTAGATGCCGATATCCACAACCAAACACCAGAGACTTGGACTTGCCCCAACTTAGCATGCCAGACTTTGTTGACTCCTCATGGGAGTCCTTATCCTTTGGGAAAAGTGGATGCAGTGTGGGCTGGAGAGCAGTTGATGGGGTGGGAGGAGGGGTGGGAGAAAGAACTGTAGTTGAAATGTAAAAGGAAATTAAAAACAAATACATTATAAAAAGTTAAAAGATTTGTTTTGTGTTTGTGATGTGGTCTGAGTTTCCAAGGGCAGCTGTATGTATGGATATCTGCTAAGTCCATTTAATATAATAATTCCAATGTTTCATCTGTTATTTTTTGTCCAGATTGATATGTCTATTGGAAAACATAGGGCATTCAATCATCTAATATTAGTGAATTTAAGTTAGTCTGTGTCTTTAATTTCAGTATGCTTTTTATGAAATTAGGCATATCAGAGTTTTTTTTGATATATACTAAAGATAGTAATATCTTCTTGTTTAGTTGTTCCCTTAATTAAAATGAGATACCCATTTTTATAACTTCTGATCAGTTTTAGTTGGAAGTCTATTTTGTCCGATATTAGGATGCAATGCTTGCTTACTCACTGATCCCATTTGATTGAAATACTTTTGTCCATCCTTTCCTCTACACTGGTACCTATTGATGAGTTTCTTAGAAAAACGACAGAAACATAGATTTTGTTTCTTGATCTGTTCAGCCAGCATGTGTCTTTTGATTGGAAAATTGAGACCATTGATATTCAGTGTTTATTGAAAGATGTGTGTTAATTGCAGCCATTGTGTTTTTGTTTCTTTGTTGTTATTTGTGTTCTCAGTGGTACTTCTTGTTTCAGTAATTACAGTTTCATTTGTTTTCTTTCTACAGTCTCTTGGCTATGTTTATTCTTCAGCTGAAGTGCTGCTTCCTGTATTTTATTTAGAGTTGGTCTGCTGGTTACAAAAGTTTTTACATCTCTTTGTATCATATGAAGTTTTTCTTTTTTCCTTCAACTATGACAGATAAGTTTTCTGGGTACAGTAGGCTAGGTTGATAGTCATGATCCTTTCGAAGTTGGAATGAATTGCTCCAGGCACTTCTGGCTTCCAGAGTTTCCATGGAGAGATCAGCTATTTTTCTCATGGGTTTCCTTTATATGTGACTTGTGTGTGTCTTTTCTCTTGCAGCTTTTGCTATTCTTTCTTTGTTCTGTATACTTAGTATTTTAACTGTGATATGCTGTGGGGAAATTTTTTCTGGCCTTGTAAATTTTTCTGTGTCTGTGTGGGTATGTTTTTCCTTAGTTTGGATATTTTTTTTTCTCCTATGACCTTATTGAAGATCCTTCTATGTCACTGACTTGGGATTCTCCTTCATCATCTATTCTAAGGGAGTGAGAAAAGTGTTTGGAGAAAATTATCAGGTGGACTCACCTGACTAGCTAGTCCCTGGAAGAATGTTGCAGCACTTGGCTGGGAAGAGAGATTGTATGTAGTCTTAAGGACTGCGATTTGTAGGCAATGAGATCAAGGTTGTCCTAAATAGGCCTAGACACTGGATGTCGAGCCCAGACTAGATCTGGGGATTTGGAGAGGATCAAGAAAACTCACTTGGCTAGACTCTGATGCAAGTTTTTCAGGGCTTGGCTGGGAGGAATCCCTAGATGGACACATGAAGGGTATATTGGTTGGTGGTAGATGACAAAGGTCCTGGCCAGAGCCTGGAAGTAGGGGGTGGCATAAACCAGATTGGCCAGATTAGGCCAAGGTACTGGGTGTGGGACACAGGCTCTATTTGGTGGTTGGGGAGTGTGTGGAGGGATGGATCAGGTGAACTCAGCTGGCTAGACTCTAGGTGGGTAGAGACATTAGTTGGGTGTGAAAATTCTTACCAAAATCACATAGAAAAGTATAAAATTTTAAGTAGTAGTATAGAAACACGATAAAAAACAGATTTGAACTAAATGCATATGTGGTAAATTATACTCAGAGATATATTTTGTTTAATTTATAATATGTCCTATTATTTTTATTATCAAGAGACAATAATTTTTCACATCTATGGTACAGTGTGGCATTAGAAACAAATATACAGTGTGAAAATTAAATCAGTAATTAGAATTTCCATCTTTTTAAGCATTTATCATTTTTTTTGTACATTAGGAAACTTTCAGTTCCTTTCTTCACATTCATTATGGAATATATAATAAATTATTGTAACCTTCATGAAGTATAACAGTAGAAATTATTCCTCTTATTGACTGTATTATGATGCCCATTATCCAACCTTTTTCTGACGGTTTGAATAAGATATCCCCTGTAGTCTTGTGAGATTGAATACTTGTTTCCAGTTGGTGGTGTTGTTTGGGAAGACTTAAGAGATGCGTCCCTGTTGGAGGAAGTCTGTCCCTGGAGGCAGACAGATTGTAAAAACTCGCACAATTTCAAGTTTGCTTTCTCTGCTTCATTCTAGTGGTTCAAAATATATACCTTTGTTCCATCATCGTGGATTCAAACCATAAGCCCAAATGCACTCTTCAATAAGTTGCCTTTATCATAGTGTTTAGTCGCAGCAATGGAAAAGTAACCATGCACTTCTATCCTGCTCCCTACAATTCTTGCACACTTCTAGTGACTACTAGTCTACATTCTTCATCTATGAATCATTTTTAGCTTCCATATGGAAACACGAATATGTGTTTCCTAATCTTCAAACTTAATGCAGAATTTCTCTTTATTTTTGTATTCCTTTCAACATTGCTCAATATTTTTAATATCTGTCCCCATACATTTGCTCTGGGTTGATGTATTTATGTTACAAAACTCAAGTTGGTCTTTTCAAATGTATTGTACATCCTCATGGGTCACACTGTGCACCTCACCTTTATGTGTATGCTGATGATTTGATCAAATTGTAGATCTAGAGTCAAAGAAGAGTGGGTCCTGAGGGGAGTCAGCATTGTGTTGTGTGGTGGTCACCGTTTCCTGGTTTCCATCCCTTCATTCAGGGATGGAAAAGTTAATGCTATTGATAATGAAGAGGCTGCTTTCTACTGGTCATAGTGAGACAATGAAAATTCAAGAGAATTTAGGAGCTTGATATCCCTGGCTTCACCAATTCTTCTTACAGACTCCTACTGTTTCACAGTCAGTGCCCCCAGTTTATCAGTAAAGCTCCCACAAGACCAGGAGTTCAACTTGCATTGTAATTTAAGTGTTCTCAAGATGAAATTCTGTATTTGATTTTCACTAATCCCTGTCCTATGGCTATGAGATAAGCATCTCCTTCAGGAGAAGCCTAGGTTCTTTCAGGTCATTTATATCAGGAAATTTAAAACCCATATCACATTCTTTTCTTTCATTACTTTTCCAGTGCTGTTAGGAACAACAAGCCAACCTCATTGTTTTTGTCAGTTTTCTTAAAATGTTCAAGTGTGTGTGTGTGTGTGTGTGTGTGTGTGTGTGTGTGTGTGTGTGTGTGTGCATGTGTATGTATGCATGCATGCATGTGTATATACACAGTCACCTGTCTGCTTGCTTCTTGTGGTGATTTGATAGCATTTCTTGGAGATGTTTTACATATGTGCACTGCCAGAACATGTCATGGATTTCCAGTATACTCTTTACTACTGAAAGGTAGTAATTAGTCTAATTTCATTAAATCAGATTTTAAAAATATAATTTGAATGACACAAGCAACTCATTTTTAGAAAGTCAATAGAGATAAATTCAAAAAATCATAAAAAAAATTGGGTTTTCTTTCTTCTAGAATCAGTCTCAGTACCAAAAGCTATATTGCTTATGGTACTCTGAGGAAAGATAACCTCAGTAGGTTAGATAAGATAGAAAAATAACTACATGATAGATAAATGGATGGATGCATGCATGCATAGGTAGATAAATAGATGATAGATAATTTATTATGAGAATTTAGTTCAGGCAAATACAAAGGCTGAAAACTCCCACTATCCACATATGAGAGCTGCAGTCCCAGCAAAGGTGGTGGTATAACTCCAGCTTGAGGTAAAAGACCTAAGCTTGAGGAAAACCAAGAGTGTACATTCTAGGCTTGAGAATCAGAGGGCTGATGGTGCAATTCCCCGTTCGAGCCTGAAGACCTGAGGAAAAAGGAGTACAAATTGCTTAAGATCTAGTGGAAGAGAAGCAGGAGGCTAATATCCCAATTAATATAGTCAGGAAGAGAGCAGATTCTCCCTTTCTCTGACCCCCCTTTTCACTATTAAAGTCCTCTTCAGATTGAATGAAACAAACCCACACTGCAGATGATCTGCTTTTCTGAGTCTATCAATCCAAAGGCCACTTTCTTCTGGAAACACTCTCAGACACACCGATATAAAACGTATCCAAATATGTGGGTATCCCATTGTCTTGGTTCATTTCTCTGTTGCTGTGATAAAACATTGACCAGTAGCTGCTTGGAAAAGAAAGGGTTTGTTTCATCTTACACTTTTAGGTAACATCCCATCACTTAGGGAGTCAAGACAGTGATTCAAAGTAGAAACACAAACATGTGTGGATACCCAATTGACTTCTCTGTTGCAAAATAGAACACTGAACAAAAGCAACTTGGAGAGGAATGGGTTGATTTCATCTCACACTCCAAATAACATTACATCACCAAGGGTAGTTAAGGTAGGAACTGAAGCAGAGACCTTGGAGGAAAGCTGCTTACTGGATTGCTCTCCATGGCTTTCTCAGCTAGCTTTCTTTATATCCCAGGATCACCTACCCAAGGATGGCACCATCTACAGATAGCTGGGCCCTCGCACATCCATAATCAATCAAGAAAATACTCCACAGACATGACCACAGACCAATTTGATAGAGGTAATTCTTCAGTTCAGGTTCCCTCTTCTTAGTTGATTTCCAGTGTATATCAAGCTGACTGAAACTAACCAGCACACTAATTAAGTTGACAAATAAAACTAGCCATCAAGCCATTCAAAGAGCACAGAGATGATCACTAAAGACATAAAGAACTGTAAATGCCATAAGATGGGCAAAAGGGTTTTAGTTTCACAAGGGCAGAGAGGTAGCCAATGTCACTGGGGCATGGAGAATAGACAGTAGCACAAAGGATGTTTGAAAGGCTACCCAGAGGCCTCAAACCATATAGAATTTGGATTTATTCTTAACATCTTCCAAATTCACTGTGTCAAATGGATAATATGATTTGATTTACTTTCCAATAAATCATGTAGTAATTCTGTATATTAAGGACTATATGGAAGCAACAATGAAGGAGGAAGGATCAATTACAGAACTATTGTAGGCATGTATTGAGAAATGATATGCTATTTCCCTTCCCTTCCTTTCCTTTCTCCCTTCCTCCCACCCCCACCCCCCACATACACACAAACACTCATTAGTAGAAATGAATGCAGGACTCTGCTGAATTTGCAGCCTATTGTGTTAAATCATTTATATGTACCCAATGTACACTTCAGATAGAATTGTTATATTTCTCAAATTATCTGTACCTTTAGGTTTTAGACAATAATAATAGCATTATACAATTATACATAGCAATATTCTATTAGTGACTGTGGAGAAAACTGAAAAAAAGAATAATAAATGCCTTTAATTTGGAAAGAAAGAAAGGAAGGAAGAGGATTCATATATAGTATGAATAGAAACCAAATCAACAGAAAAACAACTGTACAGGTTAGAGCCCTGCTATTCATCTGCTGTGCCATGGCCTTGATCATGGCACTTGATATAACACAGGTTTCTATTTATTTATCTAAGATGGGGCATTCAACAAATTGTAGATAAAACATCTCTTCTTTTCTCCAAATTGTTATCCTGAGAACCACATTCTTTATCGTAGGAATTGTATCTATCTTATACAATCTAACCTCTGGAAGTAGAAGGTAAATTCTTATTTTCAGAGAGGAAAATTGGAATAAACAGACTATGAGTTTTCTAAATCACTGAAACAATTGATAGTTAGTTTATAATACAAAACCTTGTGGTCAGTTATTCAAATATGAACCCCCCCCCCGTTCTATTATCCCTTAAAGGTACTCTTAAGACTGATCCAACACACACACACAAAAATTACCTGCCACAATCTGCTATGTTATTACCTTTTGCTTTGTAACTTCAGATACATTTGAGCATCTGAAGGCACTGTTTAACAAGATATATCCACAAACTAGTAAATGGCAGGGTCTTATATTGGCCCTGAACTTGTACTAATTACCTTCTATTTCCTATAGCTGTACGGTTCTGTGACCGGTGCCATCTAATCAAGCCAGACCGCTGCCATCACTGTTCTGTCTGTGCTATGTAAGTGACAACTCTACTTTCTCTGGGCTGATGCTGGCTACTGATGGTTGCCTAGACAACAAAATGACTGATCCTAACATGTAACCATGCCTAGATAAGAGCATTTCTTTTGAGGCATAATGGACACATGCCAAACACTTTCACAGGGGTGATAATCATTCTTATCTAAAGATAGAAAACTAATACTACATTTTCAAAAGAAACATTTCATTTTAAATGATTTCAGATTTATAGATTTATTGTGAAGAGTTCTCATATGTCCAATACCCACTTTCCCCTATTATTAATATCTTCCATTAGGATGATACATTTGTAAAATTAATAAACCAATATTGTGACATTGTTTTTCATTGTATTCTATTGTAATATAGCTTAATTCAAAGTGAAATATTCTATTAGTGGACCTCTGTGTAATTTATAGCTTTTGCTATTCAAACCAATGCTATATAAATATCTTTGTCCAGTTATCATTTTGTATGCATCTGAGTATATCTGTTGGATGGTTTATATATAATTTTTAACTGGAATATGCTTTTTAGATATCCTCCCTTCCCCCCTAATATTCTTTTTCTGTTCCAAGAGTCTATGCAGCATACCACATTACATTAAGTAGACATGTCTCTCTAGGTCCTCCAATCCATAACAATTTCTCAGACTTTACTTGGCTTTGATAATCTTTACAGTTTGGGGGATTAAGGATCTGATGTTTTATAAATCATTCTTTAGTTCAAATTTGTTTGCTCTTTTCTTCTGATCATTATAATGGGGTAATTAGGGAGAAGAGCACTGAGCTTCATTACATGGCATCAAGGGTACATATAAACGTGACTTTGACTGCAGTGTTAACATTGAACATCTCTCTCAACGGATGTTTGTCAGGTGTTTCCAGTGTAAAATTATTTGGTCCTCCTCTCATTTCTGAACTATACTTTGTGGATGGAAGTCATTATACATAACTCCAGACTGAAGTAATAGGAAGTTATGATTCCTCTCCTAGAAGGCAAATATATGCATAAATTATTTGGAATACATCTGCATAAGGAGATGTGTCCCTTCTTCCCCACTTGTTTATTCAATCATTTGAATCAATACAGAGGTATAGATATTTATTTTCTATTTTGTGTTATTAACCAACATTGTATTTTATTTTGCCTCTCAAATTGTTCCAGGTTTGTAAAAACCCATTTTTTTGTTAGCATATATAATCCTCATACCTTTGTTCCTGAGTGCCTCCTATTCCATCCATATTTTACCTTTGACTCAAACATAGGCATATATTTCCCTCGTATTATCATTAAACTAAGTAAAGAAAACTAAAGATGGCATCTTGAATTTTTTTTTTTTTCTGAGTCGATAGTCTGGAGTCCCCTATCCCTTTCAAGATTGTCCTTCTAGAGTTGACACTTGCTGGAAACTTAGTCCCAGAATATTGCTGTGACTTGGTCATCCTGTGAGTAATTTAGGAGGCAGTAATATTGGAGTTACCAGAGTGGAAGTCTGTAGATAGTTTTGCTAGAACTATGTAAAAATATTGCTAAAACCTCAAGTTCAATTTTGAAGTGTTTCTTCATCTCCATAGCCACATTTTTCACACTATATTTTGTCCTCTTTGCAGGTGTGTTTTAAAAATGGACCATCATTGCCCATGGTATGTTCTTTTGATTCATTTCTACCTCTAAAAGGGTCAAAGTTGTTTAATATACCAACTTTCCTAAGCACAGTTGTAACATGCCCATTTTTGCTGCCATAATCCACTGTACTTTGTCGGTATTGGGGGAGGGGAATAGCACTTTAAAACAGGGGTGGAAATACCAGTAAAGGTATGGCAGTGGGTTCCTGAGGTCACAAAGCTAATAGTCTCCTGTCCATTAACTTTAGCAATTGAGCACAGTAATGAAATACAGCACAGGTATTTCTCTTCTTCAGCATCATGCAATTCGTTTCTGTTTCTAACTGACTTGATTTTGAAATGTTACAGATAGTTAAGTTCAGCGATTCTTCTATAAAAGTTGTCTGTCTCACCTAAAAAACGAATGTGGAATTGTCTAATTACAAAGAGAGTGCATCAAAGTGTAGCTACTAAGACTTCAGCATGTTTTTAACAATGAAAAGCCAGGTTTGCTTGGGTGTTTCAGGAGCCATTCTAAAGCTATTAGGAAGTCCAGGTGACTCTGCTGGTAAATAAAAAGAGAAACAAGTGAGGTGTGAACTTGTTTTTCCCATCTGTTTATATTAAGGAACCTCTGTCTCTGTTGGGTTTCTACACAACTTGTAATGAAGCAGCAGGAGTCATGTTCTTCCTCTGCTTAGTCCACTTAAGTATCAGTGTGTTCTCAATCAATAGGTCCTGATTTCAAATAGCTTTCTTTTCTTTTTAGGGTTAATAACTGCATTGGATTTTCCAACTACAAATTCTTCCTTCAGTTCTTAGCTTATTCTGTTCTCTATTGCCTGTACATTGCTACAACGGTCTTCAGCTACTTCATCAAATACTGGAGAGTAAGTTTTTAAAAATCCCAATTGGTCTCCCCCAAAGGAAATGTACAATTGCTCTAAGTGTTGCACTCCTCACCCTATATACTTTTGCATTTTGAAATACCTACTAATGAAGTTAGAAGAAGGCAAAGCAGTAAAAACGACTTTCCATATTGAATATTTTGAAATTGGAGAAACCATTGAATAAAGATTCCAGATTTTTTTAGTTTGTGTCATCTGTGACCCTAATGCTCAGGGAGAGTAACCTCTCTGCTGACCCACTCTGTAAAATCTATGTCTGTGGTTGAGTTTTTAGACCTTTCTTACCAGCTGTATATTTGAAAAAATATGTTGAAACTAATTAAAAATCACTAGCTTCTTTAATAAAAAAGGAAAGAGCCAACAGGAACTAGAAAATACTTAGTAATTTCATGATGTTCAAACAGAGCTGCTCAGTTTTCTGTTGGGAAGAAAGAAAAATTGATCTCCACATAAGCACAAAATAAAACAGGGGGTGTCTTCTGAACTTTGCGGGAAGAAATTTGCCTTTTGTTTTAGGAGACAGGGATGGATTCTCTGTAGCCTTTGCTGTCCTGGAACTTGCTCTGTAGACCAGGCTGGCCTCAAGCTTTGAGATCTGCCTGTCTGTCTCTCTCTTGAGTTTTGAGACCGACTAAAGGCATCTGCCACCACATCCAGCCTCTTTTTTTGAGAATGGATGACAAACCGTGGGTTGGGGATAGAGAAAAGCAGAGCTAATACTGGCTCTATTACTTGATTCATGGTCTCATTGCTAAGACCTAATGAAAGTGATACTGATTATAATAATTATCATAAAATCTGAAAAACAAAACAAGAAAATCAACTTACTTTCATCTTTCCCCTACTTGGAGAGATCAGTCATATGCCACCTATTTTTAAAAGTTAAGGTAGATTTTCCATTTACATATGTGTATAGGTAAAATTTCATGAAATATGTCCTTGGTCAACTTCAGCCAGTTAGACTCTCAAAGAAATCCCTTTGTATACTACAGTATAGTAATTAAGGTGTCCACAGTGAACATTATGTAAACTGATTTGAATAGTTAAACACAAATGTGAGCAGAGCTACTGGTTAGTATTTTAGAAAATTTACAAGAACCTTACATAACAGGGATATCACATCTTAGCTGGAGCGCTCAACCAACAGGGAAAGAACATAAGTCACATAGTTAGAATATAAATTATAATGAATTGGAGAAAAGAAAAACACAAGGCACTCTAGCTAAATAGGTAAGAATATTTAAATTATGAATCGGTGCTTTTATTCTTAGTAGTGTAGAAAATTACACTTTCTATTCAATTTTCCTAATCAATTCAAATGTTTAATAGCTGTAAGAATCGGGAGCCATACAGTGGATATCAAAATCTCTAATTCAAACAAACTACAAGCAGGTATGATGAGTTGTTCTCATGCATTTTCTTCAAACAGGAAACATTTCACCAAGCTACACATCTTGCTGTCTCTTCTTTGGCTCCTTTCCACAGCATGATATCTATTCCCCATTCCTCAGGTTTCCATGGCCTATTTGGCACTTCATCTGCATGCTGAGCTCCTTTTATAAATATGAAGAAAATCTGCTACATCCAATCAGCAGGGAAGTGTGAGCCTTGATCTTTCTTACATACCTTTCTTGATCCTTAACACAGCAGGCTACCATTTAATCGTGACTCTTTACCTTTATCACAAAGTAAACAACATCATATTTCACACAGTTTGCCTTTAGCTCCCCTAGCCAGCCAATAATCAAATACGAAAATGCAAGCCAGGTACTGTATGCTTTCCTTCACTCTTAAAAGATGATAACTGAATATGAATTCATCACGAGAAATGTGCCAGAAGTACAAGCAAACCCACGGTGAGCATGGCCTTGTTCTTTTCCTATTTCTTCATTGTTTTTCCTCCTCGATAGCTAGCTTATGTCTGTCATCTGAAAGGGCATGAGGCCTGTCATAGTTTGTCCTTACACTGAAAAGGTCATTGACAATTGGAGAAATGATTCTTTGCAGTCGCTCTGGCCTTAGGACCACATTAGTATGGCTTAGGGATGGATGGCTTTCTGAATTTAAATTGAGCCTTTTTAAAAATAAAAAATAAACACTGCCATATATTTTTAAAGCCACATCAAAGAGAGAAGCAGAGCTGTGCTCCCAAGAACAGCAACTTCTATTGTATGGTTCTTAAAGTATTTTTATGTCTATGATTTCATCTGATCCTTACTTTTTGCCAAAGCAAAAACTATTTGTCATATTCCAAAATGAGAAAACTAATGCTTACAGTAGTAGCTTCTAAATTTTGAAGGGAGAACTTGAATATAAGTCTGCCCATAAGCTTCTGGGATCTCACATGTACTATGCCTATGATGGTTCTGCTATAGAGAGGCTTTAACCATCACATCATTTCTTTCCTTTCAGTATTAAATTAAAAACTCTACTCTCAACAGAGAGATTAATCTTTGACTTTTGCAAAATGAATAATTGCACACCTACCACACTAGACTATGGACCTCTTTCCAAAAGCAAAGAATTATTATTTTTAGAAATGGTAATTATTTTACAAATATGCCTCTGAACTGTCTCTGATGATCATTTGCTCTGAGGGATTTAGCTTGGTTATCTCCTGGAAATGCAGTTTTGAACAGAGGATTATTTGCACAAGAAAAGTTGGTATTGTGGACCCTTTCAAAGTACAACACAGTGAGTATTCTGAACCAGAAAGACGAGCTCTGAAAGAGTGACGGGGAAAGGCTGGGAGCACAGCTACAAAAGATGTGAACAGACTTCCCTAGCAGCCTCACTTGCCCAACCATTTCCCATTGCCCATTTTAATGTAAAAAGTAAATAACAATGTGAGCTCTAAGAACTTTAAACGCATGCTCAGAAAATAGAGATTGTGAGATCAAAGTCTCAGTGAAGGTGAGAAGCACTACAAAGTACTATTTGAAATCTTACCTATGAACAGCAAAAATAAAAAACAAAAGACAAAAGAAAACAGATAACCATGAGTTAAACCAAGCATGTACCAAAGCAATCCCATTTGGGTGCTTAGGTCAGTAGTTAGTGAAAGGAGCATTTCAAGATGGAAAGTTTCACATAAAAGTTGAAGTCCTTGAGACAGCTGTTTCCTGGGCTGCTCTGCCCCGTGCAGGTTTCACTCAGTCCTCCCCCCCCCCAACTGAAAGCATCTGATGTACTTCCCCTTATCTTCATACTGCAAACATATCCGACCTGGAAGAGGTCCAGCATTTCCTTCTATAAAAATGGATAAAAATAGTCTCCAAGGAAAGAAAGAAATCTATGGTGTTTGAACTTAACAAGTGTTGCCAAGCACTAACCTGTAACTGGAATAGAATAGGATCGTGCGGAAGTTGTTAAGTTCCACTTCACGTTAACTTTATCACTGGAGGACATCTGGAAAGATCTCATGCCAATTCATCATGTCAAAACAATGGTCATTAAGGGAAAGAAGGAAATAAAGCCATAGTCAGTCCTCCAGATGTTCGCACTAAAATACAAAATGCTTTCCAAAGTTCTTTTCTGAAGACAAAATGACACTTGCTATGCATGTTATAGAACCTTAAAACATTGATTGTGCTTTAGAATTGCATACCAAAAGCTGGTGCCACATGGAAAATAAGATATCCCAGTTTACAGTAGCAATCTTTACTTCCTACTCTTACAATTACCTGTAAAATCCTGCTTGATTTTTACTGTACAAACAACTACTCCACAGGATGTAGTATACTAGCACATTCTACGTCAGCTGTTAAAAAAGAAAAAAAAACTTAAAATTTCCAACAGCTTTAAAACCAGGTCATGACTTCAGATAAGACATTTTAGAATTCTGTGTTTTACTTCTTATATTTGTCAGTCTTGTATTTTCAGCACACATACAGCCAAAGAAACATGATGTACAAAGGATACTAGTATAAGGAGCTTGAGAGATGGCTCAGTAGTTAAGAGCACTAACTGCCGTTGCAAGAGGACCTGGGTTCACTTCTCTGCTCCCATATGGCAGCTCACAGCCATCTACAACTCTAATTCCAGAGGATCTGATGCGTTCTTCTAACCTCTGTGGACCGCAGACAAACATGTGATACTACACAGATATATGAAGGCAAAACACACACACATACACACTACAGCAAAAAAAAATTAAAAATGGGTTTTTCTCCTATGAGGATTTATTTAAAATATAAAATAATTCTATTATAGCCACCTTCAGATAATAGGATGAACACTACTAATCTGATGATACCCTAGATAGTGATTTATAATTCTCAAGCCAAATAGAATATGGGCTTCAAGTCAATTATGACCTGAGCATACATTATTATTTTCTAATTGGTGTATTATATATTGCACTTAAACAAGAATCCTTTTTAAGCTTTGTAAGCTAAGAACATATCTATAATAATGTATGATAATCAACAATTTTGTAAAAATAAATAATAATCGGGACCTGAAAGTGGCTTGGCAGCCCCTGCAACAAAGTTCAGCCCCTGGAATCTGAATAGAGGGAGAGACCTGACCCCCACAAGTGGTCTTCTGATTTCCATGCCTGCACACTGTGCCATGAGCATACATCACAAACACACACACACACACACACACACACACACACACACACACAAAGTAAATGCATATAATAAAATTTAAACTTACAAAATAGGTTTTTAAAATTGGAGCTGATTTTTTACATGTGAAAAACTACTAATCTATATAGAAAAAGTAGCTAAGCATTGCCGCTTTAATGTTTTGTTTTCTTCATTCACTTTTTCCTTTCTAGGGGGAATTGCCCAGTGTTCGCTCTAAGTTCCATGTCCTCTTTCTCCTCTTTGTGGCCTGCATGTTTTTTGTCAGCCTTGTGATTCTCTTTGGTTACCATTGTTGGCTTGTCAGCAGAAACAAAACTACCTTAGGTAAGACTGAATATTAAGACTAGGAAAATGCATATTAATGTATATCACGGTGCCCTGTTCCCGTAGGAGGAAAAAAAACTAATAATAAAGTATTTTAGCTTTAGTGACACCCTTTTGTCTCTAAACTGAAACAGATGGAAATACATTTTATTAAACTGGACAACAAAAGTGAACAAAGCTTACAGACTACACAGAGCTTTTGTGAATCACATCACATAGAGAACCCCAAATAACTGTAGTTCTTTATAGTGCATATTGGGTAATACATCCCCAAATCCACAAGTATGACTTCTAAAAAGTATTCCCATGAAGAAATGAGTATCAGAAGGAAGAAATGACACTAAATAACAATCTAACTGATGATGCATATCCCCAAACAGAGTCCTTAGAAAGATTCCAAATGAATAACAGAAATGAATGCAAAAACTCAGGCCATCAAGATTTCTCAGCAGGTAAGGGTACTTGCTAGGAGCCTGGCAACATGAGTTCAAGCTCTAAAATCCACACCATAGAAAGTTCGAATTGAGTCACACAAGTTGTCCTCTTCCACTCTCACATCATGGCATGTAGACACAGGTGTGTGCACATAAACACATGCAAAATAAATACATTTAAAAATGTAAAAAGTTTTTATAAGGAATCAATTTGATATTTACAATCAAAAGGGTATATAAAAGGACCATGCAAATGAGATGTGCATATTAAATCTGCAGAAAATCAGTATACTGAATGAGTTAGTTTTTTTCTTTTTCTTTTTTCTGTCAATTAGTACTCCAGGCTTGTTATTATATGTAGAAAGAAAGGATTCTAGTGCAATAATTACTTCATCTATGGTGAATGTTTACATGGTCTACAAGTCAGTACACAAGGAATAAGAAGAAAGCGTTCAAGTGTTAAACATTTAACTAAGATGGATTAGATTTGAGAGGAATTTAGTGTAAAAGCCACTGCACTTTGAGAATTCATTTGCCAGAGAAGTCTTTGCACCCATTTTTCTAAATCAAATACATGTATAGCACTTAGTACTTAGGGTAGTAAATTAGCACATTTGGTTGAGAGATAGCTACAGAAGTAGAAAAGTACTAAAAGCTTCATGATAACAGGGTCTGAAAACAAAGGACAAATGGGAAATGGTGAGATGCAGCCAGAACCCAACAGTGAAAGTGTTTGCTTAATGGGATAAATGTGTGTCTAAAAATAATGTGCATTAATGTGGCCCAATTCCTCATAGTCTTTGAGGTGATTACAGTTCACCCGTTGACATTTTGTCTGGAGTAAAACTAGGTTTTTTACATTGCAGGTTTCATTGTGAACATCTTCATTTCTGAAATGTTTCGAAACCAAATCAATGTCATTACCATCTCTTTATGTGTCATTACTTTGGTCCCAGATCTACAGATGGACACCATTTGGCTGTTGTTGCCACTTTGATTCAAATAAAGTACATTTAAATCTATTCCTGCATTCCTTAAATTCAGCAGTCCAAATATGCGCCCCTTGAGAATGCTGTATTATTTTTTGTCATTGTGTATTTACCCTGCCTTAAAAAGATAAGAGTACAAATTCCTTATGTTCAATAACAATTTTACCTTTTATTAAATAATTAAACTGAGTTTTACTAAGTACTTTAGCAACAATTAAGAATGTGGACCTATGCTAAAACAGCAAAAAGATATCATAAATCCAGGCACATTTTTGGAGAGATGTAAAAATCATCACAGTAATGAAATCTATTCCTTTATTTCTCTTCCTCTTTCCCAACTCTCCTGGACTGTCTTAGAGGCCTTTTGCACTCCAGTATTTACAAGTGGACCAGAGAAAAACGGGTTTAACCTTGGCTTCATCAAGAATATCCAGCAGGTGTTTGGCGATAATAAGAAGTTCTGGTTAATACCTATTGGGTCCAGGTAGGTAATTATTATCACTGAAAGCAGCTAATGCTGAGCCATGCAGTAAAACAGCAAAATTATTATTATTATTATTATTATTATTATTATTATTATTATTTGTTTGTTTGTTTGTTCGAGAGTTTCACACATTTTATAATGAAATTTGGTAATTTTCACACTCCATTCCCCTTTCTCATCCCTCCTTTCTCCTGCTGGAACCCTTCTTCTCAACAAGTCTTCTACTTTCCTATGTTCTTTTTGTGTGTTTTTTCAGTTGGTGTTGTTGTTGGCATGTGCACGGGTGAGAGGCTATTTACTGAAACAAGGACAATTTTTCATTGGCTATACTGCTAAAGAAAACAATACTCCTTCCTCCAACAACTGTTAATTATCAGTAGTCCCACAGAGAGGATTAGAGCCTTATGGGTTCATCTCCTATCTATGATGAAGTGTTGATGGGCCTAATCTTGAACAAGTCTCATGTAGATCGTCGTATCTTCAGTGAGTTCATGGATGTAATGGCTGTCATGTCCAGAAGACAGCTTTTTTGTTGCCTATTTCTCTACCTACTGGCTCTGACCTTTCTTCTACCATTCCCTCCATGTTGTTCCCTGAGCCTTGCAGGGGTAATACAGCTGTCTAATTTAGGGCTAAGTATGCTGCCATCGTTTATCCTCATCCTCTTGTCCAGTTATGGGTTTTTGCATTAACCATCTCCCATCTCAGAAGAAGCTTCTCTGATGAAGGCTGAGCATCCTCTATAGCAAAATAGACTCAATTTGTTTTGAAGACAAGGACTCACGGTGTTGACCTGGACTCATATGTAGACCAAACTGGCCATGAACGTGTTACAGTCCTGCTGATTTTTACTCTTCACTGCAGAGTTTTAAAGGCATGTGTCACCATACCCATCTGTAAATGCAGATTTGGTATCAGTCTAGTAGGTACAATATTTCCCAAGTTTCTCATTTATATATTTATAAAAACAAATCATGAAGTGGAGGTATGATCAAATAGACACTGTCCTGATTTGTGTTTGTGGAAAGGTAAACTGGCACCAACCTTTAATAAATTTGACAGTGCTTATTAAAAACATAAGAATAAACAAATCCATTATCTCAGTGGTTATATTTCTTTGTATGTACCCTAAAGATGGAGCATAAACTACGCTCAAAAATGTTCTTCACAGTCTGGGCATGGTGGTCCACACCTGTAATTCCAGCATTTGAAAGCTTGGGGAAAGAGAATCATGAATATCCCATCAGCCTTTGTTTACAGAGTGAATTCCAGGACAGCCAAGGCTACACATAGAAACCATTTCTCAAAAAAAAAAAAAAAAAAAAAAAACTTTGTAGAGCTAGGCTTATATCCTCTGACTGACTGTGACTCCTGTGAAACCATCACAAAATATAGGAGCTCTAGGACAGAGAATGTTTTGACCTGTTTGTATCCTTTAGGTTCACTGCTCAAACAGCAATATAATTGTATTTTATCATTGGTAAAAAGCTTTGTGTGAGTCAGGTAATAATGAAGGTTAAATTGTGTCCACCCCTCCTTGCTGCATCAATACTTCCTCTGTGCCAGTTAATGTTTTATAGAGTTATTTGTTTAAGGTGTAGTATGGTCAACTCTTCTAGCTATAAATACCAAGACAAAATTTGTCAATGGGTAATATCATTTAATAACCCACTATGTTTAGTGAGTGTGAGTCTTCTCATTACACTTGAAAGTTTAGAACCAATACAGTTTGATAATGGGATATCATAGTTAAATGATATTTATGAAACTGCATATGCATATTGCTATACCAGGCATTGTAGTAAGCAAGTTAAAGAATGTCTTGCAAACAAAAGTAGTCAGCATTGATACAGACAACTAAGATATGGAAATTGAGAGACATGGAATTGATAATAAGAGTTTATTTGAACATGGCTTTAAACAAAAGAACTAAGAATCCCCAAGTCTTGTGGTACATAGCTCAGTGGTAGAGCATTTGATTAGAGAATACTCAAAACAACACAACCCCAAATCTGTGACTATATCTCATACTAAGAAGAGTATTACTGTCTCAAAATTTTATAATTAGATGGACACGATGACACTCATCTATATCCAGCACTGAGGATACTGAGACAGTAGATTGTGCAAGTTCTTACCAGCCTAGGTAACAAAATAAGATCCTGTCTAAGCTGGTGAGGTGGTTCAGTGGATATAAATATACTCGCCACCAAACCTAACAACCTGGATTCAATCCCCAGGATCCACATCATGAAAGGAGAGAATCTATTTCCATAAGTTGCCCTCCTTATATGCACCCATACACATACATACATATGTACACATTCTCTCTGTCTCTCCCTCGCCTTCTGTATGTGATTAAATTTGAATAAAAAAGAAAGTTTGTGTCAGTTGCATACTTGATACCTTTCTTTCCCACCAGCCCTGGTGATGGACATTTCTTCCCTATGAGGTCTATGAGTGAATCACAGAACCCACTGCTGGCAAATGAAGAACCCTGGGAAGACAACGAGGATGACAATCGAGGTGAGTAGGTTCAGAAGAAAACCTTTTCTCTGCATGGCAGACTCAACACTATGTGATCCATGTTAACAAGACCAGTGTAGAGTCATGTGGTAGTACACGCCTTTAATCCTAGCACTCAGGAGGCAGATCTCAGTCTGACCTACAGGCAAGTTCCAGAACAGCTAGGGCTACACAGAGCAACTCTGTTTTGTATAAACAACAACAAAAATGTCCAAAGATTTTTTTTATAAGGATGACAACCTCATAAGTGCCCTCTGGATGGAGGAGGACAAGTATGGCTAGATTTTTGAACAAATATGGATAGCTAATGTATCTATGTTAAGCAATGTTCTCTAGAAGAACAAAACAAATAAAAACATGAATATGTTATATATTATAGAAGGGGATTTATTAGAATGGCTTACATGATAGGGCCTGGGTAATCCAACAATAGCCATCCATATGATAAAGATGCAGGGGAACCCAGTAGCTGCTCAGTCCACAAAGCTGAAAGCCTCAGCAGTCCCAGTCTGATGCGGGAGACCTGAAGGTTACTGCAGAGCCTCTGGTGTTAAGTCCACATGAGAAGATTGAAAAAGCAAGAGACTGATGTCAGCGGAGGATGCAAATAGCAGTGATAGATGTACTCACTGAGAAGGAAGACAGTGTAACCATGTGACACTGCTAAACATCTCTGCATCTGCATACCCCTTCAGAAGGTGCCATCCACTTTGAGAGCAAGTCTTTCCTCCTCAGTCATCTTCCCAGACATATCCAGAAGTTGATTCTAAATCCATCAAGTTGACAAATGAGACTGACCAGTGGATCTGAAGAGAAAGTTCAGCAGATAAAGTACTTGTCACGCAAGTATAAGAATTGGGAGTTCAGACCCCCAGATCCAGTAAAAGCCAGGTAGGCTGTTTAGGACCCACCCATAATCCCAATACAGGAGGCAGAGACAGGAACTATCTAGAGCTGGCTGGCTAGAAAGTGAGCAAAAATATTGAGGCCCAGGTTCACTGAGAGATCCGAAGGACACCAATCACCAGTCTGAGCCCTGCACAGAAGCATACACACCTGTACACACATGCACTCTCACGATGCACACATGCATACACACACGAATGCACATCATACATACATACACATCCAAAATAAAAAAGAACCAACCTTTACAGAAACAGTAGATGGTAGCTTAAGCAGTTCCTTTCCAGCTTCCTTATAGCATGGCTTACACCTCTACAGATAAATCAGGGCACATAATAGACAGTACTCTGCAAGTGAGTAGTCTTCCCAGATAATCACTCGTGGCATTTTACTTGACTGCAAAGCTTTACTTCCATCAATGGCGATCAGTTCACCTTTCTCTACCCACCTTCATTCATATTGGTTCAGTTTTCTTTAAAATCTTACACATTTTAGAATGATGAAAAACACTACAAAATAAAAGGTATGTGGGAGCAAACTTGCACATCTCTCTAATAAGGGCAAAAGAAAACTTTAAAAAGAGAACTTTGCCCTCCCAATTTCTTCCAGGAGATCACTGGGTCATTTGAGATGTGTTATGAAGATCTAAAGATAATAGTCTCCTATCATACATGTTCTGTTCTTTGTCTCTGTCCATCACTGTATCCACTGCTATGTCTTCCATCTTTGCAAATGTTGTTGATACCAGCCATGAGAGTAGATTTTAACAATTGCTGAAATAAAGCAGTAGCCAACAGCAATTTTTAAGTAGTGAATTTTTTTTTTCTTATTTTACATATCAATCCCAGTTCCCTTTCCCTCCCATGCCCCCAACCCCACCTCCCATTCCACCCACTCCCACTGCATAGGGGGGTGATGCTTTCCAGGAGAGATCATCAAAATCTGTCAAGGCATTTGGAGTAGGGACTAGGCCCTCCTCAGTAGGGGAAATTTTTATTTATTTATTTATTTTATATACCCAAGTCCATTTAAATGAAAACAAACATTTATAGACAATATTTGGGAATTTGGGCGTCGTTCTTTCCAAACTACTTCCTGCTGGTAAGGGACGCTGTCATGGAGGATTCTAAGAAGATGCAGAAATCCTGGCTGTAGTCTGCAAGGCTGCTTTGTCCAGCTGTTTTGAATGTAGGATCACCTGGTAATCTGTTTCAGGTGGTCTGGCTTGATCAAACCACATTAGTCTGGAAGGAATCCACAGCTTTTCATTTTCTGTGGAAACAAAAATAGAAATCCTTTTCCCCAGTAACTTGTCCTTGAACTTAAATTTTGGAGTCGAAGTATTTTTTTTATTTAATTTATTATTTTACATGTCGATCCCAGTTCTCTCTCCCTCTCTCCTTCCCTCCTCCCTCCCTCCCTTTTACCCTCTCTGCCCTCTCACATGCACTCTAACCACCCTCCCATCCCCCCACCCCAATTCCATATGTAGGGGAATGCCATCCAGTTGGGGTCATGTAGATCTGACAGGTCATGTGAAGTAGGGACTAGGGCTTCTCTCCTGTCTCTAGGTTAAGGCAGTTATCCCTCCATGGGGGATGTGTTAGCAAGGTCCTTTTGTGCACCAGGGATACATCCTGGCTCCACTGTCTGAGGTCCCTTAGCCTGCTCAGTAGTAGGGAAATTTTTAAGCTGATTTTTAATGTAATGTTTTTCATTTTACATACCAATCCCAGTTCCCCCCTCCCTTCTTCCACCTCTCATGCTTCCCCATTCCACCCCCATCCACTTCTCTGACCAGCTAAGGCCTCCCTTGGGGGACTCAACAAAGTCTGGCATAGCAGGAAGAGACAGTATCAAGGCTAAGCAAGTTATCCCACCATAAGGAATGGGCTTCAAAAAGCCAGCTCATGCACCCAGCATTAAGTCCTGGTCTCACTACTAGCAGCCCCCTCACCCATATTCAAAAGGCCTATTTTGGTCTCATGCAGGCTCCCCAGCTGTCCATGAGCTCCCAATAGCTTTGGTCAGCTGTCTCTGTGGTTTTCCCCATCATGCTCTTGACCACCCTCCCTGCTCCGATGGTCCCTCCTCCCTCTCTTCAATTGAACTCCAGGAGCTCAGCCCAGAGCTTGGATGTGGGTCACTGCATCTGCTTCCATCAGTTATGGATGCAGGTTCTATGATGACAATTAGGGTAGTCACTAATCTGATTACAGGGGAAAGCCAGTTCAGAAACCCTCTCCACTGTTGCTAGGAGTCTTAGCTGGGGTCATCATTGTAGATTCCTGGGAATTTCCCTAGTGCCAGGTTTGTACCTAAACTCATAATGGTTCCTTCTATCAAGATATATCTTTCATTGCTTTCCCTCTCCGTCCCTCCCCCAACTCATCATCATGAAGTGTACCTAGGGTAAATTAAACTGAATTAACATGAAAATCTTTCAAGTGAGGGACAGATGCAGAAGACAAGCTTTTCTAAATGTTCACACAGTTACATTATCCAGGTCTGGGTTCTCTGCCTGCAAGTACTATCTTAAAAGAAAGCATATTTGGGGTTGAAAAATGAGAAATCAACTACAGTTTAAGATTATAATTACATAAGAAGATAATTCTTGCCCAACCAAGGAATTACGCACACACACACACATTTTACTCCCATTTACTATGAGAATCTGGCTGTGTTTTGATGTGGGTCCTCCTGTTGTTAGTCCCCCTGAACAGACAGTAACTTTTAGCAATCTCAGAAGAAATGACTCATTCCAACAGAAATTAATGACATATCTAATTTCAAAGTTGCTTGAAATATTCCATCGTAGAAAAACAGATCATATGTGAACTTTATGTTGTCAAGCAGAACACTGTAAGGATATATGTAGTGCCACATCACATGGAAATTACTTTGGAGAGGATTGGGAGATAGCTTAATTGGTAAAGTGCTTCCTACACAAGTATGAGAACCTGCATTCCAATACCCAGCACCCACATAAAAAAACACGTTTGACATTTTATTACGTGGATGTCGGTGTGTTTGCTATAGTGTTTGTATGGAAATTAGAAGATGGGGATTTGGTTCTCTTTCCACATTTGCATGAGTTCCAGGATTAAACTCAGGTTGCCAAGTTTGCACAACAACTGACTTTACCCATTAAGCCATCTCCCCTACACAAGACATTACTTTTTTGATTCTGGTCTTTTTCAAAAACATTCGGTCATAATTTTTTATATAATTTCATATTTCATAAAATATTTTTATATTTTCCATCCTTTGACTTCAATAACCATGTTGTGTAGACGTAATATTTTAAAATTACTGAAAGCGAGAATGAGAGATATTAACTAACTCATCCCAATAACTCATCACATAACATGAATCAGACAGGGCTTGGAAACAAATGAAGGTATCCTGATTCTAAATCCTGACATTTTTGCAGTATGATAGTATGCCTGTCTTTTGGAACAATAATTATGAGACATGGTGCTGTGATTTAGTACCGTCTTGTATCTGAAGTATTCAACTGCTTCTAAAGTCAGAAAATACACCATAGACCACAAGCCTTTTTAACTTTATCCAGACCCCTATGTGCCCTCTACAAAAATGAGATGTTTAACCCCTTTTTTATGTCTAACACAGGTTCTCAAGCTGCACTGTTTGTTCAGCTGATTGTGTTATCCTCAGTCATTTGTGTCTTCTGTGTGTATGTGATCATATACAAACTGTTCATGTACTTTTAAAAAAAACAATGCTTTCTCTGTGTAGCCCTGGCTGTCCTGGAACTCACTGTGTAGACAAGGCTAGCTTGGAACTCAGAGATCAACCTGCCTCTGCCTCCCAAGTGCTGGGATTAAAGACATGCTCCACCACCCAGAAAATTCTTTGATAATTTCATACAATATATTTTGAACATATTTACCCCCTAGTCCATAACTACCCTCTTCACCCTATTATCCCTTCCCACCTAACTTTGTGTCCATGCTATTTTTTTCCCCAAGAAAGGTGCTGTAAGTCAAAATTACATTTCAGTTTTCTTTAGAAATTACGTCAGGATTAATTGCTAGCCAATGATATAATATTTGCTATACATTGTGTATTTA